TTCTCTAACTGATCAAGTGATCATCTTTAATGTATACATTTCAAAATCGGGAGCAGTTTATTTCCACTGTGTTGATACCGAAGTCAAAACATGCATACACTATATGAAAGTATATCCAGTGTTAAAAACTGTCTTATGGGAACTACATCATCAAGGGGTGCATCCAGTTTTATTATGCTCTTTCCTATCGCCAAAGTTTAATATGCTCGCTAAATCCAAACACTTTTTCAGCTGATTTGAGGGAAGAAAAAGGCACTATACTTCCAATTAAACAAAGGCCCTGTTTGGTAAAAAATTGGCCTATAGGCCAATTTTGGCTTATTTGACCACTATTAATTATTTGATTTAGTTAAAATATCAATATAAATGTTTGGTTAATTAACTTTTTGCAACTCCAAAAAGCTAAAATTCAAAAAGCTACTCCAAGCAACTTTTCCAATTAGCTTTTTGAGAAAAGAAATTATACCAAACAGCTATCAGCTAACAGCTAATTTACCAAACACTTTTCTACAATCAGTTAATATTATCAACTATTTATACCATCTAATTAACACAATCAGCTAACAGCTAACAGCCATTTTACCAAACAGGGCCAAAGACCCCCACTACTTGGAGAATGATGATCACCTACCAAAGTCCACTTTAAGCTACCTAGTCCACTTAAGCTACCAATGCTATCCATTGAAAAATTTTAGGTAAGGTCCTGGATTGAAAGGGGTGATGATTATACTTTGTACTTACAGGTTGTCTTTCAGGGCTTATTTTGAGGTTCTCTTCAAGATAATCATAAATGATTGAAGCAGCACCACTTGATTCTCTTCAATAAAATGAGATCAAAGAATAAATCAGGGGACTGCATATACCTTGAAAGTGATATCTTCATACAGCGCAAGTACCGACTCCACATTCTGATTATGAGTCTGTAAACGCAGTTTCACCTGAGAAAAGAAATTGGGAAAAAACAAGCTTGATGATTTTATCAAGTGATCTTTGAGGAAAAAAAACACTATTTATCAGCCAATCTACACAGATGGAGTAAAGCTGGAGAAAAAGGAGAAAAGAAGAAGCGTGTGTTCTGTGTATAAACAAATGTTTCAGAAACACAATGATTCGACAAGTAAACAGGCAAACCAGGCAGAGAAGGAACACCAATTTCATTTTTGGGTTTAGATGGAGTGGGAATTTCAAATATAATTCACCTCATGCCAAAACGTTTTTTCTCTAAATTCAATAAGAGAAATCAGCACTGTTATAAGGGACAGATGACCTTAAGAAGTTCAAAGAACTCTTCTATTTCAGCTGTATCTTTTGGTGGTACCCCCTTGGTATCTTTTAATTTACCTGATACATGCTGAGGAAGTCTTATTTTATTACTATTACATTACATAGTTTTAGATATTAAGAAACTACTAAATAGTTATATAACTTATTACTCTTGATCTTTGAATTAGTTCAGGTAGTTTAATTATTTAAAAACTACCAAATAACTAATCATTCTTTTTTTTTTCTTTTTCTTTTTTTGAAAATGGGAAAAACTTCGATTACTTAAATAGAGTCAAACTCCAAACATCAACAAGCGAAGGAAAATAATTAATCATTCTTAGTTTAGGAATCTTTGTAATCAACCCTATAAAAGGGAGTATTATTTAGAATAAAGGGAAGCAGAAATTCAATCCCAAAAAGGGTCTTAAGTGAATTTTGGGTCTCAAGCAAACCCAGTGTTTTCTTCTTTTCCTTTTCCAACTATTATTCGTTGTTCTTTTTCCTTATGTTTTCTTGCCCGTGACGTAAAATTTATTTATAAAACCAACATTTGCAACCAAAATAAGAGAATAACAAAATTCAGTGCAAACTACAAAGCTCTTGGTTCATCACCCCACCCAGAACCAATCCACTCTTAACATAAATGAGGTTTACATTGAAACCCAGAAAAGTCCATCCAAATCAAAGAAACTAAATTACCCAGTAGGTCGCCTTTCGGCAAATTATGCTATGGAACCGTGTCCACCTTGCAAGGTGGACACGGTTCCAAAACTGTCATAATTGTGAATATAGAGTTCAAACTTCAAAAATTATGAACATAGAGTTCTATAATTATGAACATAGAGTTCTGTAATTGTGAATATAGAGTTCAATAATTGTGAATATGAAGTTCAAAAATTATGAATATAGAGTTTTATAATTATGAACATAGAGTTCAGTAATTATGAACATAGAACCGTGTCCACCTTGCAAGGTGGACACGGTTCCACGGCATAACAATTGGTCACCTTTCAACCCTTATGAATCAGATTGTACAGCACATTCAATTCCATGCACTTAGGTTACGAGATGTTAACTGACAAATAGCAAATCACGTTTGAGCTTAACATCCAGTAGAGATCACAGCACCTTTTGCTCAGATGAACAGCGGCACAGTCAGAGTGAAATCACATCAAACAACATATAACTTTTAAGATACCAGGTTAACCCTCTGTATATTATTTTATAATGCTTGTGCAAACAAAACATACCTTCTCTTCAGTGTCATCAAATCGTTGAGTAAGCCTTTCAGAAATCTCGTCAGATTCTGGAGGAGAATACTTCAAATGGTATATCTTCCCTGTTACTGGGTCCAGCCTGCGGCCTATCACTCTTTCAACAAGTTTTTCTTCATGCACCTGTACATGCAACAGAAATTTTCTCATATTGTGCCCATGGTAAGTTGGTAACTAAATGCAGATTAAAACCAGTATGTTAAAACTTCATTTGAAGCATGTAAAATGACAATGAATTTTAAATATAGGGATTTAATAAGCTATAAAACAAGTGAATGACCACAACTATAGATGGTAGAAACTCACTTCCAAAAGAATGAAGAGATCTGGTTGGAAGCCAAATTCTTGAAGAGCTGTTGCTTGAGATACGCTACGGGGGTATCCATCCAAAAGCCAACCCTTCTCTTGTGAATCTGGTTGCATTAGACGATCTTTGACCATCTGTTCCAAAATGAAAGCCACCAACTTCTATCTATGAGTATTAAATATGCATTTCATTCCATTTCATGTTCCTTCATAACTGTAACAAAAAGATATGAACAAAAGAAGGAACGATATGTGCAAGATTTCAAGTGTGTACCATTACAACTACTTCATCAGGAACTAATTGCCCTTTCTCCATGTATTCCTTTGCTCGCTTCCCGTTTTCTGTCCCTGCAGAAATTTCGGCCCGTAGTAAATCTCCAGCTGAAATGTGCACCAAATCATACTGCAAGGACGTAAGCATGTAAAGAGAAAATTCACTTAAACATGAAAATATAAAGTCAACACTATTACTCTGCATTAAACAACCAAAAGGGAATTGCTAAAATTTGAGAACAAGCTACAAAAGGGTGCCCAACATAAATGCAGACTCAAAGTCAATTCCACCAAGAAAGTAGTCAGAGCTTGTAAACTCTGATAAAATAGAAGTAGCAGATTGAAGTCTGCCCCTTTAACTTCATGAACCCACAACCCACTGATCATTGAAAATTAGTAATTAAATCCTTTAACTAACTGGCGACATTCACGCATTCAATCCCATTTCCAAGCCCAATTTCCCTCCCCGCAAAGAATAAACCTCTCTCTCTCTCTCTCTCTCTCTCTCTCTCTCTCTATCCCAAATGAAGAGAAAAAAAAAAAAAAATACATTACTTTCTTGGTGATGAGCTCACATTGGGTTCCTTTCCCAGAAGCCGGAGCACCCGATATCATTATCCTCAAGGGTTCCGCCTTATTCGCCGATGCCACAACCTTTTCAAAAATTAAAAAAACAATTAACCAAACGTAAAACCTAGTTCAGTCACTAAAAGAAAAATTCAATGTTGCTGCTGTACTTACATACCACGAAACCGGGAGTGTAGGGTTGCGGAGGTCTGGTATGGCGAGGTCGGGGTAGGATTTTATCCAAATGCAGAGAAGAAGACTTGGGAAGTGAGGGCACAGATGTGAGGCGTAGGTGAATAGGAGGAGATGAAAATGAAGAAATCGGCTTCGCGGGTGAGGGTTTGAAGCAGGGCAGAGAGCAGCCGCACGCCGCCATTTAGGTTGACCGGAGAATGGCTGGCTCCTCGCCGGTGTAGTGTTGTTTATATTTCGATGTTATTCAGGGTGTTTTTTGGATGTACGTAGTAATATAATTTTGGACATTTGTGATTTGTGGGAGTGTGACATCAGCGTATAATATACGAGAATAACAAAGGTAGGTATATCGCTCCTTTCAAACAAAAAAAACAAAAAACAAAAAAAAAAAAAAAAAAAGTAGGTATATATTGCCACGTTGGTTGCTTCTTTGCATTTAATATTTTTTACTCGAAAAATACTACTTATATTTTCAAAAATTTTACTCACTTCCACAAATCTTGAATGTAGACATTTTTTTTCTGAACCAAAAAATTTCTTATTCATACTTATCACATCTTGAGTAGAATTTAGAAGTCTCCAGTCCACACAGTAAACAAAAGCAAAAAATTATTTTAAAAAAAATACTAACTAAACTCCCCGCAAAAATTAATTTAACAAATAAATACTCTGTAATAAAGATTTTATTGCCACGTAATAAAAGCAAAACAGAAAAATAATATTTTATTTAAAATTTCATTTTATACATTAAATATTAATATGACAATATATTATTACCTTCATCAACCAAGTTATGCTGTTTTTTTTTAATCTGAAAATGTTACACTTATAAAAATGTTTTCTTTTAATTTTCGCGTTAACGCTTGAATACAAATTATGAGTGCAAATGACATTTTACTAAGGCAACTATGACCTAACCAACAATTTACAACATAAACGATATGTGTGCACAATAAGTTTCACATGATTGAATATAAATATAAATACTCCGTATTTAAATATATAATTCAAATAACTACAAAACAATACTTCCGCAATATATTCAAATTTTACAAGTTTACACCCAAAAAAAAAAAAAAAAAGAATAAAAAATGTGCCCTTTGTAATTTAAAAAAGAGATAATAATAATAATAAAAGGCTTTATAAGAATAAAGTAAAAAGCGAGAATGCATATAATATTATTCATTTCTCATAGACATTTCTCCAATATTGGTTTCACTTCTGCTGGTGATCTTGAATGCTACCTATTTGTGTATTGTGCAACTAGGAAATAAATACTTTTTGGAATGCTGCTTTTTTCTAACAGAAAGATTCTAACCACTTACCGTGTCAACATTAAAGTGTGCTACAATTGTGATATATTACTTGTTCAATCAATTGATCTCCCCATTACTCTGTCCTAGCACGTTTTGAATTAGCCTCCTTCATCCAGTCTATGCATTCTTCTGCAGTCCCAGCAGGACATGCAAGCTGCCACTCCAACAATTTTTGTTGCTGAAATGAAAAACAAAACCCAATGAGCAAAACTCGTCACTGGATAAGTAAGCCGGCAAGAGTTAGTTGCCTTACCCATTCTTTGACAATTGGTCCTCCAGATTTAATCTGCAAAATGTTCATGATTTCCTTCCCATTCACCAGCGGCTTCGCTTCCCAGACACTTTCTAGGCCTGAGGATCACAATAAATTCAGAACTCAAATGTTAGTAGTTGAGTAGTTCTGTTTATGCAATCATGGAATTCCAACTCAAAACCCACAATGGTAAATTAGAAACCGACACAACTGCAATATAAGGTCCTACAATTGTTTCTTAAACTAATTAGACCTAATACTTCTGAACCGGGACCTACCAATGCAGACTTTTGGTGCAGATGTAGGCATATGCATGGTGAAGGGGAAAAAATCCAAAAGATGATAGATGTCAATTCCAAGGTGGGTCAATAAACACTAATTTTATTTTATTTTTTAAAAAAAAAAAAAAAAAAAAAAAAAAAAAAAAAAAGAGTTTTGTTGTAGAAACATATCATATAACTATGCAACCCATTTCAACAGCCAATTTCCACAGCACCTAGAAGTTGTTTCTATTGGTCCATTCAACATGATCATAAGCAGAGCTAAATAACAAAGCTCATAGAATATGAGAAGAGTATAGCCATATAGGACTATTAACAATACCTAGATTGAGTATGTCATTCTCAATTGTCTTAAATAATTTGCTTCTCTTCTCCAATTCGATGTTTTCCTCTGTGTCCACATTTGTAGGGTATAAAAGCATCGAGAGTACCAGGGAAACACGCCAGAATTCTTTAATTTCACGGAGCAGCAATCCTGTTGGTGAAAAAACATGTCACCCAACAATTTTTAAGATGAAGTGCTATAATCAAAGAAAATAAAATCATAGGCCATACGATCCAATAGAAGAAAAAGACCTGCACTAAAGTAAGAATATTTCTTACCAATCAGTATTCTACGTTTTGCAGCAACTGGAACATCAATAGTTTCTGTTTTCCAATCCACTTCAATAATTTCTATATCTTTGGAAGTAATAAACGGAATCAATGATACAAGCTTTTGTGTCACACTATGCAAACTTGTGACCTGCAAACATAACATATATTTAATTAACAATAGTATATTGCAGCCATTTCTCTCTATTCTCCAATGATGATATTTGGTAGTGGTGTGAGGTGGGAGAGGAGAGAATGAGAGAAAGTAAGACTCATCTACTGTGAACAGGGCCATGATAATAAAACTGTAATACTGTAATAATTGCCACTTACTGTTTCTGAATCACTGGCTTTCAACTTGAGAGAATTCCTGAAGATGTAACTCACAACTGGAATCTGTTCATATATACAGCAATAAATATTCATTCAAAACAAAAGACCAAAAAAAAAGTACAGTGGTCATTACTCATTAATGCACAACTCTATGGTCCAAGGGCCAAAAAGATGGCATGAGAAGACTTTACCTTTTTAGCTTTATGGTCTTTGTATATGGTGTTTCTAAACGGCAGAAACAAAGCTGCATATAAGCAAAGCCGCCTTTGATCATCCTAAAATCCAAATAGAAGTGTCCAAACAAATTAAAACAATAAATGCATAAAATAGAATCAAAATGCCATGACAAATACTTGGTGCATATAAGGGCAGCCAAGTGAGCCAACCCATGCATACTATATTACTATCTATCATAAAACAGAGCCTACACATTTGATAATAGAAGCTTCAGGTGGATTTTTTTCTTCTTTCCATATTGCATTAAATGGCTTGGTCCAGGATCATTGCCAAAATTGATAAACCCTTGAAAACATGTAGTTATACAATAATTTTAGTCATAGAATCATGATCTATTTCTCCACAAACGAATTCCGTAATTATTTCCTTTACGATTTCTTGGTGAGTGGTCAAACCAATGAATAGACATCATCTATCAATGTAGATACTTACAGTCAAAGAGCATCCAATTAGACGAAGCAATCTCCATGCTAAATCCATGTAAGTAACACACAACCTAACAGAGAGATTAAACTAAAAGGTCAGAGCTGTGTTTCAATTTCAGAAAATGAATACTTGAAGAGAATGAACTTTCCACAGAAAGTGGATTGAGCTTTGTTATTTCATCACCACCCAATGGGGGAAAAAGCATAGGCACCACCACATACATATGATACAGTTAAAGCTCACTAAACAATATTGCAAAAATCACATAGGCTGTCCTTGAGAATGTGAGTCAAGACTTTAGACTTTCTAGGTAGAAATCCAAATTTATGGTTTGAGGATTTGCAACCATCATATGGTTTATTCAATTTCATCAGGAACTTATTCTTCTCCTCTTAGGTTTCAGTTGGGAAGAGCTATGATATACAAGTAAATATGGTTTACATATGCAGACAGTGAACATCTTGGAGCATAAGAATAATATTTGAGAATTGAAGTAAACAGGAGTGCCAAGGCATCCTAGAACAAAGTGCATTCAATGTTCTTCCACTTGATTAATACCTTAGTTGTTTTTTTAATGGAAAACACAAAATAACAAGATGCAGTTATCTTCCAGCTTTCCCAAAACAAATGATAATGATCAATACCCAAATGAAAATAAAAATAAAAATAAAATAAAATAAAGTCCATTTGAGATAAGGAAGGTACTTGTCACAACTCGTGGGAATTGGTGGTTCAACGTCCAGAGGAAGACTAAAGACAGCTGGAAATAATTGCAGGTCAGCAACATATGTAATTGCTTTAAGAGGTTGATTGCCAGATATCATAAGATCAATCTGTTAAATGGTACGGAGTAAAAAGGAAATAACAGTGTAAATTAACCTACCAGAGAAAATACAGTAAACGAAAAAAGGGTACAAGTCAACATTAGGAAGGGAGGACCATTCACTCCAAACCTAAATAACACCTTTTAAATTAAAGAATTATTTGTTAACAAGAATTTATTAGGCTAAATTTGACATTATATCCTGGTTCAGACCCTAAAGCGATCTAGGGTATAAATTGGAATAGATTAAATGCTAGTACGATGAGCATACTTCATGACCTATGCGTTCTCTGCTAATCTTATCAGCAATAGCAGCCTTGACATCATCATCTGAAGCAGCTCTCTTGAGCTCTTCATCTAGCATAAATTCGAACCTAGCACCTGAAATCATATATAATGAAAATATAAATAAAAACAGCAGAACCAAAAATAGTCTGCAGCATAAAAAGGTTGTACCACTGCCTAGACTTTAAATCTAAGTAAAAAGATAAAAAAATCTCAAAGTACAACTAGGCAGTTTTTATGTGCTTTTTGGGCAACAGACAACATGTTCCCTTTTTGGAGAATATGAAGCTGAAAGGTCACAGAGTAGTTCCCATAGAATTAAATTGTCTAGTGGTGAAAATGCAGAAGAAGCCATAGTCAAAGGAATTTAAGAAAACAAAGCAACCTACTGTTAGTAGAATAAATGTGTAAGTCCACTTAGTAAGCCGTTGCGTAGCAAGCTAGGTATGCCACACATATGACGATTAGATCGCATTGTATAACATTAATGTTCATAACTTCATATTTTACTAGTGTGCAAATAATTTTTATACAAATAATTACATTTTATTACATAGATGTCCATGTTGTTTAATAAGAACATTGTTGTAATAGAATATAAAGTCTAAACATCACAAAAGGGCGTACATGGCTAGGTAAGTCATATCCTATCTAATAAGAACTGCCACTTAACCATCAAACTTTATCTGTTCAGGCAATGTATCAGTTAAAAAAAGGGACCCAACTGATGCCTATCTGTTCATGCCATTTAGTAAAAAATTCAAAGCCTTAGTCAACCCTTTTATATTTTCCCTCCTAAATGAGTCAATTAAATCATCAAAACAATCTCAATTCAGACCATAATCTATCAATTTAAAAAGACAACTGAAAATGGCATTTCAAAGTAGCATGATATCTATAGAAAAGCCAAAGTTTCTGTACTAGCTGGAGTAGCTGCTTCCCTTACAATGGGGAAGCAGTATCCAAAATCCTTAGAAGTGAGACCTCACATTCTATCCTCACTCTTCAATGTTCTGTCTACTTTTTGACAATACAAAAACCTATAAAAAGGGACCTAACTGACACCAAAACGTCTTGATATCCACGCTATACTTTCAATATCAAAATTCAGAGTGTACATGTGTGTGTGTGTATCTATACCAATCAATACAAAATATAAGTGGCAGTGTGGCACTCTGATAATAAATAATATCCAAAACTTGTTCCATACATAGATAAGCAGGTCATGATTAGTTGTTTACTTCACTAACCAAAACGAATGGCTCGAAGAACTCTTAGTGGATCATCCAAAAAGGTCTGCTTTGGAGGCAGCGGAGTCACAATTCTACCAGACTTGAGATCCTTAATGCCTGAATTAGATAGAACAAGTTTGGTATATTACAACAGAAAACTTTTTGGAGATGCAGATTAGGAAATGTGACACAACTAACTTTGAAAATTGAAAACTTCCACATACCTTTTCCTGTAAAATCTTCAACCGAACTTGAGTTAATATTGTAAAATAAGCTGTTGAACCAAAATGAGGATCAGTTAGGTGATTTTCAGAGATCAGAATGTCATGCAACACACATGCATATATACATCAAACTTGCATTGCACAGCTTTTATTTATGGGACAAAAGAGAAGACAGCAATTAATTAGTTGAAGACAAACATACCTGTTAATGGTTAAGTCCCTGCGATATGCATCCTCTTCTGCAGTGCCAAATCTCTATGAAACAAATAAAATAAAACAAAATTTTAAACAACCAGATTAGGCATAACTGAGAAAGAAGGGGAACAAGTGAAAACAAATAGAACTTTCAGAACCTATTTTTGGTTAACAAACAACAAGAATAATCATCTGCCACTTGAAAAAGGTAAGGATTGTAATGAAGTTAATCAATAGAAAACTACAGAGCATACTAGTATAAAATTCTTTTATCAAGTGTCTATTTAATAAGTTCTAAAACAATATTTATTTCACATTCATCCTTCCATTTTGAGCAGTCTTGTGCTACATCATAATCATAAATCACAAGCATTTTCCTAGAAAGCAATCTGTGTAATATTCCTTGCATTATTCAGTCTTCTTGTCTCCCCTTCTTCCATGTATTATTTATTATAAAGGTGTTTTTGTACGTGCAATCAGTTGGGATACAAAATAAACCAAGACCCCATATGTGTGACTACATGCAATATGGAAATCAAGATGCATTCAATCACAATCTCCAAGTTGTATTTACCATTGTTGGAATACGACTACTTTCACTGTAATCTTCTGCTCGCAAGTTAACAAAATCAACCCATACATCACAAAGGCGCATCCTTGCTGTTTCCAAGTGTTTTGACTGATCAGGATTGCTGGAAAATTAATGAAAATGGTTAAATTAGTAAATAATGCCTGCATTCAGCCAATGACAAAACAACAACAACAACAACAACAACAACAACAAAAAAAGGTATCTATAGTTTTCATTCTTCTGTGAATGGCAAATGTGATTTGGCTTTTCTATATCAAACAGAACTGCCAAGTTTTTCTTATATTTTTTATACAAATACAAATCAATTCTATTAAAATCATAAAAATTATATCAAAAAGTTTTACATGGATTCCTGTAACCAAAAACCATGTGATCTTAGATGCACCCTTCATTATCCAAAGAAGCAGGCCATACCACAGGTAGACAACTTGGTGACCGAACAGGCTCAAATACCATGTTATAATCTAAGATTGGGTCAATGTCACTCAACTGACCTAAAAGATTGAATCCAATCAATTAGCTAGTCTAACTCATGGCCTTATAAACTAATATATTCTTTCTTATATTTTCAATGTGGGACTCTTAACAAAACTCAAACTAAAAAGATATAGAATAGTGGATAAATAATTTAGAAACTAGCTAACTCCAAGCTTTACTTAGTTCACAAGAAAGCTAATTTTAGTTGTAATAATGTATAAGTTTTAGCATACAAATAACAGATGAAGCAGGATCACCAAGTCCAACCATTACAAGCAACAACATTATATACAATTCATATAAAATAAAAATACCAAGTCTAATAAGCTCATAGGAGCCTTTACTCCCTTTAGTAAATTATTAAATGAACATACCACTGGATGACACCTATTCCTTGGGTTTCTTCCCCAGTAGATGATAAGTACTCATTGACCTTCTCACAGAATTCTCTTCCTAGCATGTTATCAAGTGCAATATCTATATCACAGCATTCTTTACCAAGAAGCTACATTAAGAACACAACACGTCAGATTGAGGAAGGCAGAAACTTCATAAAAACAAATATAAAAGCTGTTCCAAATCAAACAAGCTTTAGAAACTACAACTAGTGTTGAAGGCTCCTGCAGTCCTGCCCTTATGCTTTCATAGCTAAACGGTGGATGATGATTGATGACCTAGAACTTTTACAACTATAATTCAGTCAAATTCTACGCATACTAGCAGAGTACCAGCCCAAACCTTATCGCGAACCCATCCACCGGCGACGCGGAGCTGCGTCTGGAGATTAAAGTGGCGCAGGACTTGAAGAAGGCGGTCAAAAATCTGCTTCTCCTTGGCTGTCAAGTCGATGTGGTCTTTCACATGAACTAGCGCAGGAGACGGGTCGGATTCCGCCATACTTGGCCCGCTGCGAAACCTCCGGGGAGGAATGTAGGAGCTGTGAGATATAGAGTAGTTGCGGCACTTGAATTGTATAGTCTGAAGTTTTGGGAGAGGTGAAAGGCGAGAAGAGTTGCGTGATGAATGGAAGAAGAGGCGGTGAGTGTAGTGGTTCAAAGTTGAAACCAGTCTCATTGCGCTTCCCTCAGTCCGCCCATTTTCCTTTCGCCGGGGCGGAGAATCGGAGCAGGGGTGATTGGGTGAATGGAAAAAATGAAATGGGCTTGGACAGTTGGGCCCGGACCATTCTAACTTGGATCAATCGTTATGCTATGGACGAGTGTCATGCTGGACACGGGTAACAGCGGCACTGTTATCTTTTTTTTTTTTTTTTAAATTTAGACCGCTCTCGAGTATGTGTTCATAATTTTATTAATATAAGTTAATAACTGTATATTCGTAACTCCATAACTGTACGTTCATAACTCTATAACTGTACATTCATAACTCCATAACTGTACATTCATAACTCCATAATTGTACATTCAAAATTTTCGAAGCTCTATGTTCACAATTTTAGAGCTCTATGTTCATAATTTTATCACTATATGTTCATAATTGTAAGTTCATAATGTTAGAGCTCTGTGCTCATAATTTCATAATTGCATAATTATACATTCATAACGGTGTAACTGTACATTCATAATCCAAAAAATAATAATAATAATAATGCCGTTAACGGCAAAACACGCGCGAATTTTTTTTAACTAAATGACGCTTTTTTTTTTTTAAACGACGTCGTTTTGGACCCGTGTCCACGGTCCAGGGCATAATTTGCCACCTTGGATCGGGTGGACACAAATGTAAGAAAAAATACTTTTTCTGCCACTTCTTATGTGTAGTGAATTGAGATTTGACATAAAAAATGAAATTAGAAAATTTGAAATCTAAATTGCTTCTTTAATGCTTTTGAATAGTTTTTGTTATTCAATTTTTACTTGTACTCATTTCAAATTCTACTCAATCACTTTTACTCTCTAATGTAACAAATAATTATAGACTATCGTTATTATGTGACTGCGAGTAATACTTGGGAGTTCATATATAATTTCCTTAAATATATGGTTTCATTGTAATTATGTGTTAAATAATTATATTAATTACTTTATATTACACTAATACTAAATGGTTGTAATTATGTGTTAAATAATTATATTCATTACTTTATATTTTCATGTAGTAATACACTAATACTAAATAATTGTACCTCGCAGTAAAACTAAATCATTTTCCAATTTAAAAATAGTCGTTTAAATTTAGTGTGTTATGCAAATTATTCCATATCAGCTTGTATAATTATGATGAGTAGTATGAAAGAAATAGTAAAATCGGACGTTCTATCTGAAAATTTGAAAAGAGAAAAAATGATGAAACTTTTTGGACTGAGCTAGGCTAAAATCTACTAATATGTTTGAATAATACAAATTTTGACATATAATACTTAATATTATTGAAATACAAATTAAATATGAAAAAGAGATATGTGACCAGAAGGTTAACTAAGGGTGAAATAATCGAGATGTCAATTTGGAGGTGTGAGATGGAGTCGGGAAACTCCGGTTATAATGGCATAAGTCGGGAGAAGTCCTATCCATGTGTAATAAATATCCGATATATAAAAAGGAGATGAGAAACATGCGGGTGGTAAAATTGTGGTTGACAGTTGTCTTTAAAAGTATAACCACATGATCGGACAGTTGGTGACTATTGTGTGGTTATTAATGAAGACTATTGACATGGTGCCTGAGAGATCTACTGATATGCGGAAGTCTATTGACACGGTGCCTGAGAGATCTACTGATATGCGGAAGTCTATTGACACGGTGCCTGAGAGATTTACTGATATGCGCAACCAAAAGACATACAAATGTGAACGATCAAGAGGCATATTATCTACGCAACTAGGATGTCTATTGCTAATGTGATCATGGCGTCTACTTATAAGGTGATCAATACGTCTACTGATAATGCAGCCCGTAAGTAGACATGCATTGCTCAGACCGAGAAATACACTAGGTCGAGAGATAAAATATAAAACAGATATAGGATATCGAGTCTTTAAGTTACAACAGAGAAATAAAATATAAAACATATACTACCTTCATGCAATACTCTTTGGTATAAATGGTAAAATATGAAAGAAGTTTCACATTTCGCATAAACAGATTACTGGTTCCATGTCATTGATAACTGGAAAATCTTTAAAAAATGCTAGGGCAAAAGAAAATCATGATACAATGTGTGATACGAATAATTCAAGAGTAGTTTATGGTGCGATGATACTTTAGTACAAATTTAATTTAATTGTACAATATATTTGACCATTATCCAAAAAATTCAAATATTTTGTCACATCGTCTTGCTGTCTTGTATTGCACAGCGCGCGAAGCTTTCTTCGTTGAGGAATCAGTGACTCAGTAAGAAGCCGAGTAGAAAAGATGTCGGCGAGAGATTGGATTGGAACGGATGAAACCGCAAAGCAGTACCTGTCTAGGGTTCTAACAGAGCGACCTTTCGTGCCACTCCCGCCTCCTCTTCACCGCCTTCCTCTCCGCGCCGGCAACATCGTCGAGATCGTCGGCCCTTCGCCTTCCGCCAAAACCCAAATCCTTATACAGGCAATAGTGGGAATATTGCAATACAGCTTATGCCTATTGTATATATTACTAAACGAATGTTGGATTTCTCCACTTCTGTTGAAAATAACAATTGCATTTCAGGCTTCAATAAACTGCATTCTGCCCAAGGAATGGAAAGGCGTGCATTATGGAGGTTTGGAGCGCCCAGTGATGTTCATCGACTTGGATTGCCGTTTCGATGTTTTGAGCCTTTCAGGTTCACTAAAGCAGCGCATACTTAAAGCCAAGGGTAATTCGATTATTATTATTATTATTATTATTATTATTATTATTATTATTATTTTTAATTTATTTCATTTTCCTATGAAATGCAAAAAAGCTTTGGTCACTGTTCGGGCATTTATTGGGCAGGTGTTTTTCAGTCCATGGTACTATGGTCTATGGTAGTGACTTAGGAGTTTAATTTAATTATATAAGCCTTGTTAATTTAGGCAACCTTTTCAGCACAATTTTCTGTAGGATGCTAAAAATATTATTGAGTATTTGAGTAATATTTTGTAGTCATTGAATTTCCGAGCATATGGTTGCATATTTTCACCCTTGGATTCTGTGTTATCAGGAAAGAGTATGCCATGCTTAAAGGAAGCAGATGCCATATATGACAAAGAATTATTTGCAGAAAGCATGAGACGGTTCTTGTACATCCGTTGCTATGATAGTATCCAGTTTCTGGCTACACTTAAGGTTATTCTTCTTTTTCTTGTTTTTGTCACTAAGTTGTAATTATTTTATTTGTTTGTATGGTTTGATGTATTTTACGAATTGCAGATGCTCTTAGTGTTTACGAATTGTCACTAGGCGTAAAGGTTTTGGTTTATTTCACATTTTCACCAATAAGTCTTCTTTATATTTGGCATTTTAGATATTCTAGTTGATACATTGTTTGAAATATCTTCATTCTTTTCTTCCCACCTTATTCATTGTAGACAATGCATCACCAGCTTCAAATGGCAAAAGAGGCACATGGAATTGGTGCTTATTTAATGGTGATTGACAGGTTTTCTGGAGTTTGGTCAGCTATTTTTTAATTTCTTTATATTGCTTTTAATTCCTTGTTTTGATGTTAGGATTTCTCTTTCAATTGCACTTGCGTTTCACATAGGTAGCTTTGGTGCTAAATTGTAATATCAATGGGTGGGAAAATCAAGCCTAAATCTTGTTGCCTGCTCAATGGTGACTAGTTGCCATGTTGCAGGTTGGTTTAGTAATTAAAAAGCCGGACTTGACATAGATTGAGTGCAAGAGTTTGGCTGAAAATATGAGTTAAAAGTACTGGTGCCACTTGGTTGATAAAGGAAGCACATATTTAACACTATGTTTGTTATGTAAATAAATAAATGATGCACAATCACGTGGGGAAATGATAATTCTTGAGCAAAATTACATCATTACTTGCCAAGCACAGCAAACTAAGGCATGTTTTAACTCTCTATTTTTTTTTTGTCAGTATTGGAGCTTTTCACTGGATGGATCGTGCTTCTGCATTTATGCCACAAGGGAGCAGCAACAGGTAATGATAAAGGAAAATTTCTTTTGACTTATGTTCAGTGGAAAATATCTGGAGAACTGTGGTAATTCCGGCATGTTTCTGATTTCCATCCTTCTATGGCTTTTATGTTGATGCATCAGCAAGTTTAAAACATTGCTTTTGTAATTGCAGTTCTGTGGTATTCAGTAAAGCATCAAGTTTTCTGTCCATAAAATATTCTCTTTAAGCCTTACATCTCAATAATAGAGATGGACATTATACTGAAGTATTTTATGCTAACCATCTGAAACTCCAACCAAACGTCCCTTCCCCAACCAACTGAACAGAAAAATTCAAGGAAATAGTGAAGAAAGAGAGAATATCCTAAACTGTAATTATCTTTCAGAACAAATTGCACTTTTGGTCCTGTGAGTATTAGGGTATTGACAATTTGAGTACGTGACTTTCAAAACTCCCAATTTAGACCTTTAACTATGCAAAAATTGGCAGATTTGGTCCTCCGGGCCAAATTGCCGGCCAATTTTGGCCGGAGAAACATAAATTGGTTCGAATTTATTTGTGTTGAGGGCAAAATCGTCATTTCACTCCCTTCTTCTTCATTCTCCCTTTCTTCTTCGTTCTTCTTCTTCTTTCTTTCTTCTTCTTTGCTGCTTTTTTACCGACCCAATACAATGCATGAGCCATGATTAATTAATTTAATAATAAAAAAAAAATCATCTAAATTTCTCTCAAACCAAATTTGGTAAATCCAACAATCACCCATTTTCCATTCTCCTAAATACATAAAAATAATACGGTTGTACATAAAAACATATATGTAATCAATAAATACATAAACATATATTGTTGGCTCATGAACTTTCCGAGCTCTGCCTGGGCAAGCCGCCGCTGAGGTCCCTCTCCGTCTCCGCCACTGTCGGCGACGCCCTGTCCGTTCTTAGAAGCTCGGAAGGCATCTCCATAAGCGTGTGGATATAGTGATTTATATATGAAGATTATTTCATGAAGGGAATTTAAGAAAATTTTGCGAAATGATTAATATATTCTTTAACAATTTAGAAATTCAAAATAAATTATTAATGATAACAAAAGCTACAAGTAATAGATTAAAGAAGCAGCAAAGAAGAAGAAAGAAAGAAGAAGAAGAACGAAGAAGAAAAAGAAGAAGAAGAACGAAGAAGAAAGGGAGAATGAAGAAGAAGGGAGTGAAATGACGATTTTGCCCTCAACACAAATAAATTCGAACCAATTTATGTTTTTCCGGCCAAAATTGGCCGGCAATTTGGCCCGGAGGACTAAATCTGCCAATTTTTGCATAGTTAAAGGTTTAAATTGGGAGTTTTGAAAGTCACGTACTCAAATTGTCAGTATCCTAATACTCACAGGACCAAAAGTGCAATTTGTTCTTATCTTTCATGTCATCTTGTCTACTTGCCTCAGCATTCAACATTCTTTTTATCCTTCCTGTATCATACTGCTTAATTCACCTAAGTCTCCATTCACCCTTGTTCTCACTATCTTTGCTGAATGCCTAAAAGCAAATTTTCCTGCCCTGTCATCATCTTGCCAAAGTGGTGTAGCCTAAAGCTCCTTGAACTCTCTCATCCTGTGGTCTGTCCTGTTTAGAATGTAGATGCTATATGGTGGAACTCATTTCTAGTTTCTTACCCCATTGCCTTCTCTGCAAATTTCACTTTTTTTTTCCTTCAATTTTTTTGTTTGTTTGTTTGTTTCTAACACATTCTAGTATTAATGTTTAGTGTCAACTAAGTTTGTTATATACTCAGGAAAAGTCTCTCTCTTCAAAGTGTATCAGAAACTGTGGTTCAGGAGATTCGGAAGATTCTGTTGGTTCATCCAATGCTTGTCCTAAGTACTAAAGCAGTTAGTTTAGAGGATAAGCATGCATCAAATGAAGTTGTAAGGTAGGGGACAGGGTGTTTTCTATTTCTGTTTGGTTATTTTTGCAAAGCTGACGAACCTTGATTTCTTGGTTGATAATCTGCATTCTCAAAGATTCTATGTAGAGTGATATTTGTTGGATGTATTGTATATATAAGGCTAAGTAGTCATATCCTTAATAGAATCCAAGATTAGTCACATGTTTCAACAGAAGAAAATTGTTCTAAAATTATGTGCTTGAGAATGATGCGGCAGGGGTAACTCTGAATACTGAGTGGTTAGGTGTGAGTGTGTGACCGCGATGTTCCTTGTTAGGAGGTATGGGGTAGCCTGTCTACCTTTGCTTTTTCCTCACCAAAGAGTAGAAAATAATTGCACCCTTATATATAAAAACATCTGAACACTGTGTCTGAAACAACAGAATATGGTGAATACTAGGAAATAGACACATTATGCTCTGGGCAGGCAGTGTACATGTTGGTCTTACTATAATCAAGTATTCCCTCCATTCCAGAAATGTTGTCCCCTTTGGCTGGACATACAAATCATGAGAGTATATTCAATGTATTGACTATTGACTAAGTGATATATTTTCATTTTTGCCCATAATAAATGCACTGTAAATTTTTTTTTAAAAAATAATAATTGTAGTAGGTTTTTAAGGGTGTTTTGGGCAATGAAGTAATAAATGTTGTTATATTTATTGAAAAGGGACAATTTTTTTTGGGGACATCCCAATAGGAAGGAGGATTTTTTTTTTTTTTTTTTTTTTTTTGGGATAGAGGGAGTATAAGATTATTCATGGGAAGGATACTTTTACCTTTGCTGGAATCATTTGGAAGATTCTGTCTTATTTCTCTTTAAATGATAGTTCTTTGGAGTAAGTTCACTTCATTTGATGAAAATTTGGTGAATTCAGACTCGCATTTAAATATTTAATAACTATTTTCAATCAAGCTTGTCATTCATTGATGATTTAGGTTGTTACCTGATATGGCATTGTTTTCTTATAGAATATGTTTTTTGAACTTTTCAAACAGGAATGTGGGGAAGTGGCCTGCTCAAAACTCCTTGGATTCTACAAGTGTTAGGAGTAGGGCAAATATTCTACCATTTCGTGAGTATATGCCTTCAGTCTGGCAGGTAATAATCCTGTATCCTGCTCTGTTATTCTTCTTGAAGATAAGACCATTTGATATTCCCCATTGTTTTAATGAGAATTTGAGATGAGTGGGAAGAGCATTAAAAAATGGCACAAAACCATAGTTGGTAGATTCATCTGAACATTACGTATGAAGTAATCTTTTTCTAGTATTTTGAGCATGAACCTCTTCACTTTTGCTCTCTAATCTGTGGACTTATCTTTCCCCCTATGTGTATGCGGTATACCTCAGTAATAATCTTCAAGAATATCCATGCTTCCATTCAGAAATTGCTGTGTAATAATTTTAGTTATAAAAAGAGCCAAACAGACATCTGCTTTTATAGCTTAGTTTTTGGAACTTAAACCTTTTTAACTTAGCTTGAATTGGATTGTCTGTAACTAAAATTATACTTTACTTCTTGTTGCAGTCCTTTGTTTCTCACAGAATGCTTGTGCGCCCTTCAGGTTTGCATAAAAATATTTGACCAGTAATCATTTCTTGCTCTGTCAAGCGGGCTTTGTTATTATTGGAAAATGGGTTTATAGTGTTTTAATCTTATTTCACAGGTGATAGCGATGAGAATAAAAATCAGCTCACTTATTTTACAGAGTGGCTGTTGCCAACACTGAAGTTATCAGAAAAGTTTATTATCAATAATGTATGATAATACCTTTCTATTAACCATCATTATTTTACTGCTCCAGTAGTCACTCTCTCTCAATTATGCAGGATGGTGTTTTTACGATAGATCAAGTGCATCTGAATGTAGAATGAATATCTGAGCACTGGTTGATGATCACCTGCTTAGTGTGAAGTCAGAATATTAATTAGAAGTGCAGCTTTCATTTTCAATTGGCTTCACTTGTTCATCAAGGATTTCTATGCTGGTTTAAACAGACACCAGTAAGTCATCATGGGGTAGTAGTAATGCTAGTTACTTTAGTAGTTTAATTCATTAATGGTGGCTTTTAGATCTGTCTCTCTTAACACACATTAATGTTTTATATATATATTTTTTATGTAGGAATAAGCATTCCTGCTATCTTCTTCGTGACTTAATATTTGCTGCTACAGTGTCGAAGAAGAATTTGTGGTGAGTACTCATAAGTCATAATGCTTTAGTTGCTAGCTATTTGTTTCTCATTAGTTGAAAGTGGAATGATTCATATATTTTTTTGCCAAAGGTTGCTCCACTTATAATTTTCGGTCGAAGTGCAAAGCAGTAAAATTGATGGCGACAAGAGAAGAAAGGGAAAAGCAAAGGATATGACATTGTTTACGAAACCATTTGCACAAAGCGATGAAGCCATACAACTGCATCTGGGTTTGCGAAGTTCATATTGGCTATCTCTGGACTTTGTGGCTTTGGTGGTTAATTTCTAACTCATTTATATTGATTTCTTATTATATGCTTTAGAGAACATAGTTGTTCAATTATGAGTCATCCTAATCTCCCATGTAGCATTAAGAAAAAAACAAGACACTCGGAAGTGTTGGACACTAACGCCATAGAAAAGTAAAAATATTTAAAAAAAAAAATGTTGTGTATTTGTAAATATTTTTCTTTAAATGTGAATAAATATTAATTGTCTACTCTACTTTTAGAAAATGCGTTTTTTGAACTTTTTTAGGAAAATGATTTAAAACGATTTATGGAATGTTTATAAATTTTCTGGCAGGAAATGTGGACGTCTTGAGAATGCTCAAAATTTTAACCGTTATTTTTTTTCCTTTGAACAAGTTGAAGCATTCTTTTTCCTAGTAAAAAAACTATGCAGTAAAGAACATAGAGTACATATTTAGGGACCGTTTGGGATAGTGCATATAACCAAGGAATTAAATTGACTATTTGTTTACAATTGAATGATCAAAATTATAAGAGTCACACTTGTGTAGACAGGTTGAATTTATGATGATTGCATGTTATATATGATAGAAATTAATGCATATAAAATAGTTAACACACATCATTCTTTTATGAGAACGGTAGTGTAATGCAATTCAAATTCAAATATTTACTATTTGAAAAAGATTATATCATTAAAAGTCAAATAAAATTTGTTTTTTTCTAAACATTGTTACTCCGTAATTCCAATTTAAACATGATAGATCCAGTCTAAAATATGATTAAATGTTCACAAATATATCATTATTAAATTATATTTTACATAAGAATTATCACCAACGAATTATTATTATTAAATTATTTTTTACATAAAAATTATCATATTTAATATTAGAAGTTTAGAACACCATTTACTTCACCAAAAATATTGAAGTGATGAAACAAATCTTTATTATTATTATTATTTTTGAAAGGCTTTATTATTATTATTATTATTATTATTATTATTATTATGAGGAATTTAGGATAGGTCTACAAAGTCAAAAGTCAAAATTGAAAACCAAATAAGACGTACTCCGTATAAAACAATGGGAAACAATCTGCAGGAGAAGTGATGATATAAGGGGAATTGGCAAAACTCACAACTGACAACTATCACCTCGCTGTAATCTTATGCACTCAAATTTACACTAAGTATGCTTCCACCGGCGATCATCGTCTTCTTCTGCTTACTCCTATCGCCGGCGATCTCGGCCACGGAGCCGCCTCAGTTCACCGTCGATGGGACGGTATTGGAGCTGGACGAATCTAACTTTGACGCCGCCATATCCACGTTTGATTATATCTTCGTTGATTTCTACGCCCCCTGGTGTGGTCACTGCAAGCGTCTCGCTCCCGAGGTTTGGTCATTTCTCTTCTCTTTCCGCTGTCGATTCAAGTGTACTGGTTAAATTTCATATCCGAATGTAACAAGCATAGATGAGCTCAACTAGAGTTATCGTAACATTCTGAAATAAATAAAATTTGCGTTATTTTTGCTGGATTTTCAAGTGAAATCACGAAAATTGTTAGATTTGAACTTAAAATGGCATTTTCTGTACTGAACTGTGTGGTGTGTGTGTGTGTCTAAGTAAGTAGCATATAACCTAATATGCATATTCATGCCTTCGTGATAAGTAATTCCATGATAGCTTACTTTAGAGTTAGAAAAGCATTTTAATTCGTTTTTCTGTTCTCTGTGCCTTCAAACATTTAATGCTGAACTAATCTGACAAACTTAGATGTTTCTTTGCAGCTGGACAAAGCTGCTGCCATCCTGGCTGAAATGAAGCAGCCTATAGTGATTGCAAAAGTTAATGCTGACAAACACAGACGTCTTGGTTCTAAATATGAAATCGAGTATGTTTGCTATATATCCTTTCTCATCAGAATAAAGTAGTACCGATGGAATTGATTCCAGTGCTTGCTGGATTCTAAAAGATAATTCTTTTAACTTGAATCAGATTAACATTTTCTTTCTAGGAATCTGAGATCTGCTCCTCTTCCCTTGAACTAACAAGAAAAAAGATAGATTCAATTAGGAAATTTGTAAGTTAAGGACTAATGTTGAATTGTTAGCATTTAATGCATTAACAAGAGTGTGCTGAAACTATTTCTTCTGTTGTAATGCAGTGGATATCCCACATTAAAGATGTTTGTGCATGGAGTTCCTACAGATTTTAATGGACCACGAAAAGCAGATTTGCTTGTTAAATTTTTGAAGAAATATGCTGCACCTGATGTGACTGTTCTTGACTCGGACTCCGCCGTTGGTGACTTCATTGAGAAGGCTGGCTCTTTTTTCCCTATGTTCATAGGCTTTGGCTTGGACCAATCCTTGATATCAAATTTGGCTATCCAATATAAGAAAAAAGCATGGTTTTCTGTAGCAAAAGATTTCTCAGATGAAACCATGTCTTTATATGATTTTGATAAGGTTCCTGCTTTGCTAGCCCTTCAACCAAACTACAATGAACAAAGCATTTTCTATGGCCCCTTTGAAGGTTAGTTTATTGTCAGTTATTTGTTTGACCACCATTAACTCCACAAATAATTATCATTTTTGAATTTTGTGGTGTTTTGATATGTCACGGCATAAGGCTTCCTTTGCTGTAGTAAGAACTTAAATATATAATAACCGTGCTCAGCTCTCTATTCTCAACCTTGATATCTTTCATGATGCCCAAATGATTTACAGTTCCTTTAATAAACTAGTGAATGAACTTCCTATAACATTTTGTGAATAGAACTGTTAGTTGCTGTCATGGTTAATAGTCAGTTTAGATCTGAATCCTCTCCAATGATATGAATATGTGCTTCTACTTTCTGTATAACTCGGATGTGAAATGACATTTATGTTGTCTTAAGCTAGTTTATGCCTTTGAAGTTTCTATTAAACTTCCCTTTGGTGTGGTTGCCAGAAGCTGCTTAGCTGATCAAGTTCAGTGAATATGACATTTACAACATCGTTTTGGTGTGGCTGTCATAAGCTGCTTAGCTGATAAAATTTAGTGAATGCAACCTTTTAACAACTTCTATTTTCTATGTACACCAAATGATAATTTGTGAAGTTTGAAACAAAAACCTTATCTATTTTAGATTTTGGACATGATGGCAACTGCAGATGGCTAATCCTTCCGTCTTTTGTACCACAGAGAAATTCCTTGAGGATTACATAAATCAGAGTTTGTTGCCTCTGGTTTTGCCAATAAATCATGATACATTAAGGTTGTTGAAGGATGATAAGAGAAAAATTGTCCTCACGATCATGGAGGATGAAACAGATGAGAAGTCTAAGGGACTAATTAAAAACTTGAAGGCTGCTGCATCTGCAAACCGTGATTTGGTATTTGCTTTTGTTGGATTCAAGCAATGGGAAGAATTTGCTGAGTCATTTGATGTTAATAAGAAAACTCCACTTCCAAAGATGATTGTCTGGGATGGAGATGAGGAATACTTTACTGTAAGTAAAAAGTTATTATACATCTTCCTTTACCTCACCTTGCATGATGCCAACAGCCATACACGCCGTGTCTGATCTTTTGAACTATATCTAAGTGCCACTTGGTCAATGGTTGTTGGACAGTTGCATTACAACAGGGATGCTAGGCATTGCCTGTTTAATGTAGAGTAAAACAATTGATCATATGAAAATTAATCCAAATATAAAGTAAATCATCTTATCTTTTTAGATAAATAGCCTCTTTTAATCTGTAGGAAGCATCTCAAGTCTTGATATACTTGGTAATGCTGGGAGCCAAAGAGTAAAAAGGATAATCTTTGCTTCATTGAAAAGATGCAAATGCTTGAAAATAATGAAATTTGCCTCCCTTGGGGTTTCCTCTTGAGGAACAGTTTGTGCTAATAACATGAGAGATTTTTCTCATTTTCACACTATGCATGCCATTCCAAGTTCTTACATCTTAACAATGCATTACCTTGAAACATAGTTGTCTACTTGTCTTTGAACAAAAAAGTTAGCAAGCACAAGGAAACTATTCCTAGGTGGCTAATTTTGCATGGATTTTTTTGCTTGAACTGCATTACCTTTATTTATGTATGCATATATATGCATTTGATTAAGCCTTTTGGTGGAGTTAAACTTGTTTGACACTGTATGCTTATCATTTTTGCTTTTTCTGTGATATGAACGTTTTCTGCTACTCTGTATAATATTGTGTCTTAAGCCACTCTTTCTTGCTGAAACTTACATAGGTCATTGGCTCAGAGACGATTGGCGAAGATGATCAGCGGTCCCATATCACACAATTTGTTGGAGGGTATAGGGAAGGAAGTGTAATACAGAAACAAATTAAAGGGCCTTCATTTATGGGATTTATACACTCGATGATTGGGGTTGGATCGGTTACCATTATTGTGTTTGTGGTTGGTGTGGTGATGATCATTCAATCTCTAAAGGAGGAACCCTTGAGGGTTGGCACAAGAGACCAGACAGATAGTGCAAGCTACTCCGCCTCGGAGCCAGAAGCTAGAGAAACACAGCGCGTTGGAGAGAAGGAAGACTAGGTTTGCTTTCCGTAACACTGCTTCAGGTCTGGATTGAAGATCTTCTTATGACTGATGAGGCTGGCTGTCCACTTTTGCTTCGCTATTCCCTACTATCCTTCTTGTGTATTTGAATGGCCGAGTTTTATGGGGACGGTATCCACAAGTGCAGAAGGAAGGTTTAGTCTAATGATATGAATTGCTTACTGTTACATTTCCCCTCTAGTTTCAGAAGTCTTCTGCAATGTACATGAATTTATAACATGTCTTCTTTGTACTAAAACATAAGATATGTACGATGTTTTCCTCTGAGTTTTGCAAGTTCATAAGAAAAACTGGACATTGTAGCAATT